TTCTTTACTCACATGTCCAATATGCCAATATGAACATATCTGGCACATTTAGTCATTTGGTTCATTTTGACCAAAAACTCATATTTACTACTTAGGGCTATATTTATCCGTAAACTCTTTTATATTTATCTATTTTAGGTTCATCATTACCCGATTACTAGTTTACATCACCTCAACATGTCTTATTTCACTCAAACATAATTTTTTTCCCTAAAATATCTCTCTCTCGAGCTAAAATTAAGCCTACGGGTTCAAAACTCTACCGCTCAATTTTAAACTAGTTGCAAAGGTCTAATTTAACTTTCGAGAACCTTTTTATTACTATTAGGAAAGAATCAAATCCCTTAAATTCTACTAATTCAATTCCTCTATAACTCATTTTCAAAGAAATTTTTGTAGAATGGAAGGTAAGAGTTATACGTTGCTTACCTAACAAGTAATAAATCCAAAGCACTTTCCATTAGCCTAAAATGGCTTGCTCTAACTTCTCAACCCTTCACCTCTCCTTCTATCCTGTGTTTCTAAATTTTTACTTCTAAAAATCACCAAATTTCATGACTTAAGAAGTGATTTTCTAATCCATGTGCTACGACACATGCAGCACAAGCCTCGACGTATGGCACAATGAGATTTATTCTCATTACATGCGATTGCTTTAACCTGAAACGCACTCCTTTCACCTGTATCTATTCATACAACACACCAACAAGTAAATTCACCAAGTAATCATTTAAATCTCTAATCTCACACTAATTACCACTTTTCCTTGATTAACCACTAATCATGGGATTAAGAAATTCAAGATGTTACAATAAGACATCATGCTATTTGGACGATCATCAACTAAGTTATGAAATTGACTATTTTTTAGCAATTGAAGACAGTTGTGCACTTTCAAAATTAGAAATATTGTATGTGAAGAAAACAGTAAGGTGACTATTCCAACATTTAGATGACATTTCATAAGGTATTATGCAAAGGAAAATGTATATTTCCCTTGAGAAGGGTAAAGTTAAAGAAAAAAGTAACATGAGTCTTGATCACTGTGGAGCGAACAACATAGAAACCCATAAAATCAAGAAGAAATTGCTCACAGTTTAGAGTCAATGGAAGAGTTACACCGATAAGAGGGATAGTCATTAGAATTTAAAGAGGGTAATTAGGATTCTCTAAGGGTTTTTTTGGTGATCGACATTAGAAAAACCATCAAGACAAAGATGTTGACACCAGGTTTCATGCATCCATTCAAGATTTTAGAACAAAATGGACTTCTTGCTTACAGAGTTGCATTGCCACCCTAAATTACTGGTATACACAACGTATTTCATGTATCACAACTAAAGAAGTATCAACCTGATCCTTCCCATATTATTGAACATAAGGAGATTGAACTTATAAAAAATATGAAATTCAGAGCTAAGCTGAAAAGGACTGTGGATTACAAGGATAAATAGTTGAGAAACAAGACCATGAGACTGGTGAATGTAATATCCTCATCTTTTTGAATAGATATGTAGTTTATAGTTACTAACTCAAATTTTGATGATAAAATTTTTAAAAGGATGGAAGAATTGTACATCCCAATTTAAATTTTAATAGCTAATTTGAGTTAATAGAAATTTTAGAGAATATTTAAAGGCAAGTAAATTAATAGAAGATGATTATTAGATCTAATTTAAGATATAATTTCAAGTTAAGAATTTTAGAAATTATCATTGTTACCATTATTACTATTATTATTATTATTATTATTATTATTAAAGAAGAAAAAGAAATGTAAAATAGAGAGAGATTAGTAAAAAGAAAAAAGAAAAAGAAAAAGAGGATGGATGGTCACCTGTTGCGTAGGTGCGTGAGAGAAGTGTATGTACATAAAAAAAATAAAAAATAAAAAAAAGGAAAGGAAAGCAAAAAATGTGGGACCCACCCATTTATAAATCAACACTTGCCAATTCCTTTCTCCATTTAGTAAATAATTTTTATTAAATATGAATGAGCAATTATTAATCATGATTATTTGTTGAAGCACGATCTACACTTATCTCTTTTTATAACCAAACTCTTTCATATTCTTTAATTTGTTAGTTAGTAAATGACTTTTTGTTAAATTTAAATAGGTATTTGTTAATTAACGAATGACTATTTATTAAAACATGATATGCACTTACCCCTTCCAACAATCAAGCTCTTTTAGATTCTTGATCAAACTTGTCAATTAAAGAATAACTTCTTATTAAATACAAATGAATATTTTTTTATTAATGAATGACTTCTTATTGAAATATGATTTACACTTGCCCCCTTTCAACATCAAGCTCTTTTAGATTCTTAAACTTGTCATCAGCAAATAATTTCTGTTAAATGCGAATAAGTACTTGTTAATTAACAAAGGGCTACTTGTTAATTAAAAAGAAAAAGCATGGATATTATAGTATTTTTCATTTAAAATTATTTTTAAATCAGTCTCTTAATACTGCGGTGATATTTCATAATGTTTGGTCCTTAATTAATATTAAATTATCATAACAGTCATTGAGTGATATTTTTTCCTTCACTTTTTCTTTAAATTTTCCTAAAATATGAGCATTTCAAAGGAGATTGGAAAAAAAGTTCATCTCAGACATTTTAAGAACAACTTTATCTATGCCTATATGCAGCGTGTTTTATGGGAAAGGAAATGAAATATTAATTGTATGTTCTACCCATAATTATGATATTAATTGATATTTATTATGTACAAAATTAGAAAATTGTTGATTTATGTGTTTTAAGCTAAACAACAAATTTATCGATATGTAAGATTTAATTAGAAATATATTATACATAGGGATGGAAGAAGTACTCTTCATGCTACAATATAAATCATTATTAACTAATAACTTCTAAAAAATGTTGATTAAAAATTTGATTTTCTAACAATTTTCACATTTTTTCAATCATAATTTGAGTAAAATAAATATAATGGTTGACTTATTTAAAACACCATTATTTCACACCATTAGTTGGATAGAATACAGTAAATTTAGTGTAATTGACAAAATATATTAAACCTATCCAATTGTCTTAGATTTTGAACTAAATGGGATTTTTAAAAAAATATTTTATATCATAGTCATGGGTAAGGCATCATATACAAAATTATCACAAACAAATTTTATATATATATATATATATTAATTAAATCATATACTTTCTCTGTTCAAAAATATAAAATATTTTTTAAAAAGTTAGATATTTAAAAATATAAAACATTTTAATCTTTCGAGGTGTAATCATTATTTTTTTAAAAGTGTCCCTATTGATGAATGATTTTATATTTATTATAAGATATTAATAGGGATAAATATAAAAGATAAGGTTAGTTTAAAAGTAGATAACTACTTTATTGGGGATAAAATTTGGTTAAAAATATCTTATATTTTTAATAGAGGGAGTAATCATTACTTTATTTCAAGCGAAATCAACTTTAATATGTTGGATATGTATTAAATTTTATAGAAGGTCACATTATTCAATATGAATATTATACATTACTATCTCTAATTTTATTTAAAGTCACTTTTAGTAGAAAACCCTTAAATCTTATTAACTTTATTTTAAAATTTAATAAAATTTCACCTTTATCCTCTAATAAAAACAAAAAAAAATTAATAGAAAATATAAAAAGATAGGGTTAGTTTAAAAGTAGATAACTACTTTATTGGGGGTGAAGTTTGATTAAAATATCTTATTTTTGAATGAAAGGAGTATCCATTAACTTTATTTCAATGAAATCAACTTTAATATGTTTGGATATATATTAAATTTTAGAAGGTCACATTATTCATATGAAGATTATACATCACATCTCTAATTTTATTTATAAGTAACTTCTAGTAGAAAAACCTTAAATTTTATTAACTTTATCTTAAAATATAATAAAACTTCCACCTTTATCCTCTAATAAGAATAAAAAAATTATTTTTAATAATTTTTCCTAACATTTAATAAGGATAGAGAGAAAAAGATGGATATGAAAAATGATGAATGTCTTATAAATGGAACTAAAATTAATCTTTTTGCCCTTCCTTATAAATAAATATAGAGGAATATTTTAAACTCCCTACAATATAACAATATATGAGACTTTTTTAATTTATTATAAGAGTACAAGACAAGGTAAAAAAATGACCATTCAACATCTCAATATCAATATGAAAATTGAGATTTATGACAGAGAATTATAATATAAGTCACATTGTTTAAATTTTTACACAATTTTAAACAATTTTTACATATTTCCTTAGAGACTCCTACAATCTTATTATTTTTCTTAATTGTTTTCACACATTAATCAGAGCTTAAAAGTTGGAAAGATAAATAAAATCTTTTGAAAACCTTGAATTATTGTCTATAAAAGTTAAAAGATACTCCCCTAGTCCTTTCTATAGGATACAAAGAATTTTTTAATACTATTCATAAATTATTTTATTAAATTTTTAACATAAATTTTTGTTTTTACCCTCCATTGAATATTGAAGAGAAAAATATATTGTTAAACTATGTATATTTAATAGAGAGAAATTGATAAATTGTTAATTTTAAAATATAGTTAATAAATTTAAAATTTTTTTAATTCTCATTCATGTTAAAAATTCCTTATAGACATGGAGCCGCATCTAATTCATTCATATCATTGTCACAAGTAACGTGCGTCTAGGAATAAATAAATAAATAAATAAATAAAGGTGGGCGACCGCATGGAGATGAGATGTATTCCATTGTGAAAAGTGTTAATTTTCAAATGCCGTTCATTTGTTGGCAAAAAAAAAAAAAATGCCGTTCATTTGGCGCTCTTGAAAGCTTGGAAAGTCAATCAAATCTGAAGCTTAAAACTCGCTGCCATCCTCCTTCATCACTATTGCCATTTCTCAGCAAAGAAGAAAGTGGGAAGAGATCACAGAGAGAGAGAGAGAGATCTGTTTTCTGCATATTTTTGAATATAGTTTGATCAGAAAGCCATGGGTGCTGCAGCTTCGTCATCTTCGTCTTCCAAGAAGCATGAAGTGTTTCTGAGTTTCAGAGGTGAGGACACTCGCAGATCCTTCACCAGCCATCTCCATGCAGCGCTATGCCTGAGAGGTATAGAGACCTACATAGATTATCAGCTCCCAAAAGGCGATGACATATCCAAATCACTCATCCAAGCAATCGAGGATTCAAGCATCGCTGTTGTAATCTTATCCAAGGAATATGCCTCCTCCAAATGGTGCTTGAATGAACTCGTCAAGATCCTTGAGTGCAAAGAGGTTAACGGACAGCTTGTGGTTCCCATTTTCTACAAAGTAGAGCCATCTCATGTACGCAATCAAAGAGGATCTTATGAGGAAGCATTTGCAAAACATTCGAGGCAAAACCCAGAGAAGGTGGACCAATGGAGACGAGCCCTTTTTGAAATTGCAAGTTTAGCTGGTTGGGACTCTCAGAACTGGAGGTCAGTCTTCATTCTCTAAGACTAAATCTTTGAATCATTGTTTCATAATTTTTTTCCTTTGATTCATCTTCCTGATCATATAAATTGCGTTTTGTTTTCATGAATTCATGCAAGTGTTTCTCATATTAGCTGACCGGGCATCTAATTAACTGGCAGTGAATAATAATTTTGGATGTCCAGTACAATATAAAATATCTATATATATTTATTTATTTATTTGGGCTAGCCCATGTTTAGGATATCAATTGCACCAAGCTAAAGCTTACGATGCAAGGTTCTACAAGGAAAAAAAATTACTAATATGACATACTTTTTAAGCCATAAATCAAGAAGTTAATCCATTTCTAAAACATGGTTATATTTGGGTTAAAGATAAATTTTTTTCCTATACTTATTTTTTAGGAACGCTAAGCACCTATATTTTTAAGTGAGGAAATTTTTTTCCTAAAATAATTTTTGAGTTCAAAAATGCCCTGCTATTAGGAGGCCGTTAATGTGCCATTTTCTATTGAGATGGCATGTGCATGGAGTTCATGCACAGTGACAAAGTAAAACTCTGTGATCATGTTAGGTACTAATTTTTTTTGGGTAGAAATCCTTTGGTACTAATTTATCTATAAACTCTTTTTTTAAAAACGTAAACATCATCAAGTCTTTTTCTAAAAGTACGAAATACCTTGATGTCTTATTAAAATAAAATTTAATAAATATTGCTAAAATATTAAATAGTTTCAGATTTAATAATTTAAATATCATTATTATAAATATTCATTCAAAATTTATAAATTATTTTTTAAATATTAACAACTCAAACTAACATTTTATAAATTTATAAAATTTTTTATTTTTTATATATCAATCTTCAATCTTTTTCCGAAACAGTGCCCAAATTGTTATGCGTTTTGTGCATTATAAACTTACTTGTATTTTTAATATTAATAAGTTCCTTAAATTTTGAAATCATTTTCTGTAATGTTTGGTTAATTAATGATTTCTTCAAAATATTGCAATGCCAAATTTATTACTTTCTATACATTGCAATTTATAAAAATAAAAAAAATGATAAATCAGGACTAACAATATGTCAACAAAAATGTTTATTTAAAAGATATCAATTTATTTCATTAATGTGCTATAAAAAATGTTACTTAATAAGAGAAAATGGAGAGATGAGAAAAAATGTTACTTAATAAGAGAAAAAAAAATTTCACTAATTTTGAGTTTCATCCATTCATTTTAACGCAAAATTATAAGGTATACAAAATATTACAATATTAACTTGGATGGTGTAATATTTTAAATAATAATATTTAATTATTAAATATTAAAATACTTAAAATTTAACAACATTTATTAAATTTTTATTTAACAAGACTTCAAGGTGGCCAGCGCTTTTAGAAAAAGATTTTAGGGGTTCATTACTCTTAAAAAAATTCAAGGGCAAATTAGCACCCAAAGACATGATCAAAGTCTTATACTGTCACTATGTGTGGGGCGTACATGATACGTCAGTAGAAAAATAAAAAAAAAATAGCTGACTAAAGAAGGGGTTTTGCTTTAAAAAAAAAGTTTAAGGATAAAATTATCCCACTTAAGAGTATAGGATGCCCAACATTTCTAAAAATAAGTATAAGGATAAAATTAGACCTTAATTCCTATTTATATTTAAAATTAGAAAATCCTTGATATTTCATCTAACGAAAAAGCTTAACAATTTTGTAGAAATCTTAGCAACACTTCCCCTATAATTAAAACCTTTCCAAAAATCCACAATACAATTTACAAGCAGAATATCTTATTAATAATGAGCACAATCCCATCTAGCCAATAAGTAGAGTATACAACCAAATAAAAAGCCTAGCTAGCCTATATAGAACACCTAATGATATTTAAAATAAATTACATAAAATTCTTATAATTACATCAAACGAAGATACTTTTCAAGTAAAACTCCACTCAAACAACAGCTCTAAGCCCCTCAATATTAGTAAAAGGTTTTTGGTTTTGACTAATAAATTTGAGACAAAAAATTTATCTTTGGGTGAATAATGTCCCATTGTAGATTTAAAGAAAGAAAAAGGAGACAATATATATTATATATAAATATGAATTCCACATAATAACCATTATCATGTTAAAAACACATGTTGCTTAGTTCAAAAAATCGTATATAAATATGTAAAGCAAATTACATACATAACCGATTATAGGTATAAAGAAATCAAGTGAATGTCCAATTATAACATTTCCTTAAACAACTGAACTATATAATTCATTCTTTTTCTAAAAAAAAATTCCATGAACAGACCAGCAAATAGCTCTTATAAAAATCAATTTTAAGAACAATAAGTTACAAAATTTCATCTTTTTATGGTTTTTTCAAAATAATTAATAAGCATGGACACAAATTCATGAGGGTAAGTAACTAACAAGTGTCGACATACAGTTTATAAGAATAGTAACCAAGCACGATGGAAGACTATGAAACAAGTGCGGAAGGAGCCACGAAACAAGTGCAAAAGGAGGCCTATGAAACAAGCGTGAGTATGGTGCCATGAATACCAAGCTAGTTCGGATTTGTTTGGATATAGGAGGCGCAGTAGAAGATTAAAAAATTTAAAATTTTTATCCCAATATAGACTGAACGAACTTGTTTAAGTTAAGATGGATAGAAGAATACCTTTTAAGTTTCAAATTTCACGTGTGTTCTGTACAAGAGTTTGGATCTCAGAAGCTGATAACGTAGATCTGCTCCCTTTACCGATATCCACACGAACAGCTCTCTAATTCAAAAATGTGCTAGCACTCCCAACATCCATTCATCTTTGAACATCATTCTACTCTTT